GGGAAGGTGGGGGAAGGTGCGGGAAGGGAAGGAAGGGAAGGGAAGGGAAGGTGCGGGAAGGGAAGGGAAGGTGCGGGAAGGGAAGGTGCGGGAAGGTGCGGGAAGGTGCGGGAAGGTGCGGGAAGGTGCGGGAAGGGAAGGGAAGGGAAGGGAAGGGAAGGGAAGGGAAGGGAAAGGAAGGGAAAGGAGCACATCAAGGAGTTCAAATTTCCAAGTCCCATCCTGACACAATCCCTTATCCAAAGACAAACAAAGGACAAAGGAAAAGGCGAAGAACTGGGTTACGGAGCAATGTTTCCATGAGGGATGGCTCTTCCCCACCCCAGACTGGGGTGGGCACTTCCCAATCCTTGGCCTCTCTGCTGAACCCGGGAATGGGAACAGGGATAAAAACACAAAATAACCAGATTTTGAGACACATCCCACATCCCCCAGAGGCACCACAGCCACCCCGCACTGCCCGGCATCCCTGGATTGGTGTTGCACAGTTACCTCTTCCTCCTCATCCTCATCCTCCACATCCAGGATCCCCGAATCCTGCTCCGACATGGGGCTGGTGTTCTTCACCTCCAGCTCGGAGCTGGCGCTGAATTCCTTCTTGGATTTCTTCCCCCCGCTAATCCTGGGCTGCTGGGACACGATGTTGTCCAGGTTTCTCTGCTGCTGTGCCTAGGAAAAAGCAGAGATTCCATCCGGGATTTGGTTTGGATGCACGAGGCGCAGCCAGGCCTGGAAGGGGACAAAGGAGGCCGAAGGCGCCACGCGCTCGGCGGAATTCCGACACGTCGCCTTTTCCCCGAGCCAGATATTCCCAGATCCATTTGCAAAGCAGGCCAGGGATTATGCAACGATCCAAACGCTCTCCTGACTCTTTCCAAATCCCAAGGCCCCGGCCCCCGTGCCGCCACATTGCTCCGTTTACGGCCCAGCTGCAGCAATATTCGCCCGCGGGCCATGTGGTGACTGTCACAGGCCGCGCTCAGGGACCTCCTGAACCGCTGGATTTGTTCCTCTTTTCCAGCCGTGGCGGCACAAAACATTCCACATCTGGACCCCAGAGGCTCCTGAAAGCATTTTTGTGGGAGCCCAGGAGGGTTTAATTGCACGTTGTTGATGTGCGGAACGAGCTGTAAAAGGTGCTCAAGGAAAAGGCCGGGGTGGAGGGCTGGGAAGTTATTCCAGGGATTTTGGGGCTGTCTGGAAGTGGAGGTCACGCTGCGCCCTCCTGCAGAAATTCCCTGTTTTTCCTTTGATATGGAGCGCAATAATCGACAGGAAAAGTGGTTGGGCCCCGATTCTTCGGGAGTTGGTCGGGTTCAAACCGAAGGACAAGGAGTGGGAACAGCACGGACACACAAGGGGTCTCAAGGGCCAAATCCCAGCCAAGACCAGGGAAAAAAGGGCCAATCCCATGGATGTGGCGGTGCTGGACACGTGGGTTTGTGTACTGGAGTGACTGGAAATGAAACACATGGAAAACCTGGAATTTGTATGGATTTAGACACAGATTTAGAGGATTCCTCCCCGTACTCTGCTGTGGATTTTTCACGTGTCAAAATAAAGGCGTGTGAGCATCATGGAACTGCAGACAGGATCTTAAGGATCCTCTCATTCCGTGGGCAAGGACACCTTCCACAATGCTCCTGGACATTCTGGAATTCCAGGATTCTCTGAGGTGGCAAAAGGGGCCCATCCTCTTCCCTATGGGAATGCGACAGCCTGGATTTAGAAGGAAGCAGGAAAACCAAAAAACCTGTTTGGAATCCAACTGACAGCAACACCAAGGGAGAATTAAAACATTATTAATTGCTATTAAAAATTGCTAATTGCTAATTACTTTTGCTACCTGAACTGCAGAGAGTACAAAGCTTTATCCATGTGCAAACCTCCCAAATTATTTCCTTTTCAACTCCTGGAAGTTTTAACATCCCCCCAGAAATAATTCAGGAGCAGCTTTGATTTTTGCCAGCCTCAAAATCCCTTTGGAATCTCTCCTTGGGAAGCAAAACCCCACCAGGGAATGAGCACTGGAGTAAATCCTACATCTGAGGAATATCGAAATCCAAGCAAGGAATGAAGATCCCGTTCCTTGGAAAATCCAGGAGTGGATATCCCATTCCTCAGAAAATCCACCTCAAAGCGCTCCTCACCCCGAGGCCACGCAATCAGCTGCCAATTAATTAACGAGCTGGGTAATCGATAACAAAATTCCGTGTACAAAGCTGCCCCTGGAGGTGGCTGCAGCGGGAACCGAGCGAATCCTTGGATCGGGATGCGTTATCCTTGTGGGATGCGTTATCCCGCAGCACAACCTTGACCTCTAGCGGTTGGAAAGCAGGAGTAGCCCTGGAGTTCATTACTCCGAGTGCTCCTCCCAGCTGAGCCAGGGGACTCCCAACCCATCCCTTTAAAAAATCTCATCGGGGATCAATCCCAACAATGGGAATTTTTGCAACAAAGCCCCAGAGGGAAAGGTCTGGGTGGACACTGCCCAGGACAAAGTCTTTTCCCGACGTCAGGACGCGGAGCCGTTGGGGAAAGGGGCATTTTTGGCTCCGGGATTCTCGGACTTCAGAGGCAGCACTCTATAGAAAGGCCTTGCAACATCCCATAAAGGGAATTAGGACTTCAAAAAGGGGCGGGAGCGCGTGGTCCCTCAGAAGAGAACACAACAAAGGGTCGGGGCTGGGGTCCACCCTCAGGCCCGCCCAGCACCGCCCTGAGTTTCCCAGCCGAGGCCTAATGAAGTTATAACCCCGAATCCGCTGGAAATTCCCCCAAAAGCAAGCCCAGTGCACTCATTAAACCCTCCCATTTATGTAATCCTCCTCCTTCTGGAGAGAGGAGAATCAAAGAGTGGGAAAAGGCCGAGTTTTGGATGCGGCCCTGAGCTGGACACAGATCATTAGGCAGGGTGGAGCGGGCCCGGAGCGCACAGGCGGTCATGGGAGAGGGAAATTTGGGATAACGAGCTGGAGGATGCTGCTGCCAGCCCTGGGCGGGAAACACGCGGGATTTCAGGCTGGACATGGAATTGGTGTCTCCAAGGATCCATGGAAGCGCTCTCCAAGGATCCCAGACCTTGGTCCCACCTCTGCTTTCCAAGGGAAATCCAAGGGATTCATCTTCCCCCGGCCCAGCTCTGCTGTGGGAGCACGGCAGGACGTGGCCAGGTGTCCGTATTGATAAGATCCAAACCAAATGTTGATAAGACCTCAGAACTCCCAGTAATTTTGAAATCAAGGAGATCTGTCCTGCCGGCATCGCTCCAGGACAAGGAGCCCCACGTGGAATTTACCCCCCACGCTTCGATTCTGCACTTTTAATGCAAATAAACTGATTTATCAAGAGAAGAATTTTGAGCTGGATTGAAGCACAAGCACCAGCTGGGAAAATCACAGGATTTGGGTTAGAAGGGACCTTAAATCCCATCCCATTCCACCCCCAGGGACACCTCCCACTATCCCAGGCTGCTCCAAGCCCTGTCCACCCTGGCCTTGGACACTTCCAGGGATTCAGGGGCAGCCACAGCTGCTCTGGGCACCCTGTGCCAGGCACTGCCCACTCTCTGAATGGAAAAAAAAAGGAAAAAATCCTATGTCCCAACTCCCAGATTTCCTAAAAAAGCAGCCAGAGGATGCTCCCGACGCCACAAAAGATCTCCAGCCCAGCAGGAGCAACTGGGGCCTCGAGGAATCTTCACCTTTCAGGATTTTTGTGGGGAGAAGTTTTAAATTAGATGAGATTTTTCAGGGATTTCTGCCTCACATTCGGTCAGTGGAGGTTTGTTCTCTTCCCTTCCTGGGAACACCGGAGCCAAATCCCGACCTGTGATGGGCACATTCCGACTGCAGCAGGAACGGGAGTGCTCCGAGCCCGGAATGAAGGAGTGATCCCAGACCCAGACCCTGCCAGAAGGAACGGGAATGGCTTTTCCATCTCCAGGAGGACATTCCCAACCCCCTCGCTCCCAGCAGGAAACAATCTGGACTGAGGTGACCTAGAAGTGAGAAATATCGAATTTTCTTCAGCTTTGTGAAGTCACCGAGGTTTCGGTTTCACCGGGAGGGAAAGGCAGAGCTGGGGGGAGGCCCAGAGGAAGCAGCTCCAGAGAAATTTGGGATTATCCTAAGGAACTCCCGTCTCCCACCCCCAGCACATTCCTGGCACCTCCCCGGGCCGGGGCACAGCAGAACAACCTTTCCATGGATTTGCTGTGGCACAGGAAGGATCAAACCCGACCTGCAGAGGAGCACCGGGGCGTTTGGGGGTTCTGTTCCTCACAAAGGGTCTGGAGGAGCCCAGGGAAGAGACCCCACATCAAAGGCCAGGTGACACCTCGGAAAACCAACGGAACCGGGGCTGGGCAAGGCCCAAAGCCCTCAGGGGATGACAAATCCAATCCAAAATACACCTTTCGGTGTGGTTTCCATGAAAGTGAGGCCAGTTTGGGGTTATCCCGTGGAACTGCCGCTGTTCTGGCTCGCTCTGCCCCACGAGAACACAAAACCAGGCAGGGGGGCCGAGGCCTGCTCACAGCTGATGTTTCGGAATCAAACACCGAGTGCTGGGCTCCTGGAGGTGAAGTTCCCTCCAAGCACAACCACTTCCCTCATCCACGAGAGCCTGGCAGAGCAGGAGCACCCCTGTCCCTCCATCAGGGCAGAATTCCCAGCTCCTGGCGGGAATTCTCTTTCCGGACTGGCTGGTCGGAGAAGCAAAGGCACCACCTCCAGGCCCAGGCCCAGCTCAGTGACCCACGTTTGTGCACTGAGGTTGTCATCAGGCAGTCCAGAAGATTTTTAGGAGAACTGGGACAGTGGGAGGTGTCCCTGGCCATGGACTGGAAGGGATTTTTAAGGTCCCTTCCAACCCAACCCATCCTGGGATTCAAAGCCCCCAGCAGGAAGGACTTTCCTCACCATTCCAGGATCCATCCTGAAAAAACCCCACAAGCTTGTGGACAGCAGCTCCACCTTCCCCACCCCTCACAACCAATCCAACCCAACAGAGCCGGAGCTGAATTTTTTGGAGTTGAATTTTTCTTAGAACTGGGTTTTTCAAAGCAACTCAACTCTTTAAAATTGAGTGGCCCCAGAGTCAAACCTGCACCCCAACACCGTGGGATCATTCCCAACACCATGGGATCATTCCCAACGCCATGGGATCATTCCTAACACCGTGGGATCATTCCCAATGCCATGGAGTCATTCCCAACACTGTGGGATCATTCCCAACACTGTGGAGTCATTCCCAACACCATGGGACCATTCCCACTGCCATGGGATCATTCCCAACACCATGGAGTCATTCCCATGGCAATGGAGTCATTCCCAACACCGAGGGAACATTCCCAACACCGTGGAGTCATTCCCAGCACCATGGGAACATTCCCAGCACCACAGGATCATTCCCAATGCCATGGGATCATTACCAGTGCCACAGAGTCATTCCCAATGCCATGGAGTCATTCCTAACACCACAGAGTCATTCCCAGCACCACAGGATCATTCCCAATGCCATGGGATCATTCCTATCACTATGGAGTCATTCCCAATGTCATGGGATCATTACCAGTGCCATAGAGTCATTCCCAATGCCATGGAGTCATTCCCATCACCATGGAATCATTCCCAGCTCCATGGAGTCATTCCCAATGCCACGGGATC